GTGATTTAGTTGGGATTGGTCCTGTCTAGGGCAGGTGGCTGGACTTGATGACCTTCTGAGGTCTCTTCCAGCTCTATGGTTCTATGATTCTATGATTTTCTATTCTTAAAGGGGCAACATGCATCTCTCTGTCACACACACACAGTCTTTCATGCTCACTTCCCACCACATACTTGTATTATTGTTATTACTGCTTGATGTTTCTTTCAGAGGATTATTTTATTTTTTTTGACTCATCTATGTATTTCATAGTTTTTATGTATCTTACTCTTAAATGTAATTCTTTGAGTGAGTTCTAAAATGCCTGGCATGTCCTGGCTTAAGTAATTATTGTTATGGTAACTGCTTTAAATTATACATTATATCTAGACTTTTAGTTTTTGCTTGTGGTGCACATCCTGTGGTTCCTGGCTGCAGCTTCTTAAAGACACAGGCACCAAGACAGGCCTTGCTGTCCAGCAGCTAGCCAGAGCAGCTGTGCCAGCCATGCTAGCCATGTTCCAGCCTCAAGGCCCCCCTGGCTCTTCTCGGGACAGAGACGAGGACCCACCCAGGGACACCAAGAGGCGGGCACCAGCCTGGTCAGGGCCAGAAATAAAAAACCTGCTAGAGCTCTGGTCCCAGGAGGAAGCCCTGCAGGCCCTGAAGACACGCCGCAGGCATGCGGACATCTATGAGAGCCTGGCCAAGGTACTGACCACCAGAGGGCATCACCCCTGCACCATGGCACAAGTGAGGGTCAAAGAAACTGTGGCAGGGATATGCCAGAGCCCGAGACCAGAGCTCCTATTCCAGGGCAACCCCAGAGAGCTGCCTTTATTTCCAGGAGTTGGAGCAGATCCTGGGCGGTGGAGAAGCCCAGACTCCACTGCGTGTGGTGGAGTCCAGGTAACCCCACCACATCGTGGACCGACCCCTGAGGGAGGAAGACGAGGCAGGAGAGGAGGGAGAGCTGCACCAGGAGAAGGAGGAGTGGGTTCTCCAGACCCCAGAGACCTCCCAGGTATCCATGGACATCTGGGAGGGCTCATCAGGTGAGTGCTTTGAAGCGTCACCATGAGTGGATGGGTTGGCAGTGGGGGAGGGGGGGACATTTAGTCCCATTGCCACTGTGGGGGCCCTGTGAGGCTTTCAGGACACTGCCCAACTCACACACCGTGTCACGTGTATCACCCCTGAGTCTCCTGTCCAAAGGAGAGCCCCTGACAGCTATGGCCTGCCCTCGGAGACAGCAGGGATGCACACAGACAGTGATTGTCGCCTCCTCTTTTTCTCCACAGCCGGACCCTCTACCCAACAGGGGAGCAGCACACTCGCCCCACCACCATCCTGGACCCGTGGCACCCGCAGGCACTGGCGGGTCTACACAGACCTGCTGAGAGAGCACATTGTGGCCCTGCAGGACCTGTACAGGACCCTCCAGCAGAGGATGGAGGCAGAGGCCGAGTGGCGCACCAGGCTGCTGGATGAGCTGGTCCAGCAGTGCACTGCCATCTGTGCCACAATGCGGGAGGTCCTTGGCTTGCCTGCCCCTGTAACAAGTCTCCTGTCCAAAGGAGAGCCCCTGCCAGCCACGGCATGCCCTCAGGGACAGCAGGGGTGCACACAGACATTGATTATCTCCTCTTCTTTTACTCCACAGCCGTACCCTCTACCTAACAGGGGAGCATCACACATGCCCCACCACCATCCTGGACCTCTGGCACCTGCAGGCGCTGGCGTGTGTACACGGACCTACTGAGGGACAATGTAGTGGCCCTGCAGGACCTCAACAGGACCCTCCAGCAGAGGACGCAGGCAGAGGCCGAATGGTGCACCAGGCTGCTGGACGAGTTGGTCCAGCAGCGCACTGACATCTGTGCCACAATGCAGGAGGTCTTCACCTTGCTTGCCCCTGTCACGGGAACTCGTCCTCCAGCCCCTCCTGCTTCTCCAGCACCCTCTTTCCCCCCCCCAGCCCTTCCTGCTCCCGAGCCCTCACAAGCCTAACACCTGCCCCCCGCCCTTCCCCCGTCCCCCACAGTGCCCAGGCCAGGACTGGCTCTCGCTCCACCTGATCCCAAGGCCGTGGTGATGCCAGTGTAAGCAGGGGCTGAGCAGCAGTTCAGCCCCTGCTTACACCAGGATGCAGGAAGGTGGCAGGCATGCAGGAAGGTGTTTGTTTATAAACAGTTGAACAGTAAAAAGAGAAAGTTTTGTTAAACAGTTCACACATTTTCTTTACTGCTAGTGTTTCTAATAAAACAAATTTCTGTTTACAAAGAGAACCAGGTCTTATATGTCTTCTTAATGGGAAGCGAGCGAAGGTTGTGGAGGGAAAGGTAGGGGTAGGCCAGGCCAAACTCCCCCATGGGGGAGGCCCTGGGGAGAGTCAGTGGGCTCCTTCTGAGAATCTCTCCCTCAGGGCCTCTTGGATTTGGACACCAGCCTTGTGAGCCTGGCGGATGGCAGCCATCTGGGGCTGCTGAAATTGCCTCTCCTCACCATCAGCACCTGTTCCCCACCCCAACAGGAAGTCCTCCCCTTTCCTCTCCACCAGGTTATGAAGGGCACAACATGCGGAAACCACCTCCAGGATGTTGCGTTCGCCCATCTCCAGGCATGTGAGGAGGCAACGGAATCTCCCTTTCAGCCGCCGAAGGCGCATTCCACCTGGATGCGAGCCTGGCTAAGATGCATGTTGAAAAGCTCCTTGCTCGCATCCAGGTGGCCGGTGTAGGGTTTCATGAGCCACGGCATCAGAGGGTAGGCCACGTCAGCCACTATGCACACCGGCATCTGCACATCCCTGAGTGCGAGGTGCCGCTGGGGGAAAAATGTTCCTGCCTACAACCTGCAGTACAGAGTGAAAAGCAGAAAAAACCCCCAGAAAATAAACTGCTGTGGTGTCCGAGGAAGCAGGGCAACCAGAGCAAAAACTGCAGCAGCTTTGCTTTTCCTCTAGGAGCTAGCCAAGCCAGAAGCAAGAGCAGAGCAACGGTTGTCCAGGGGGATCCTTTTAAGCACGCGTCTCTGCAAAGGGAATTCAGCAGCACCTGGAAATAAAGGCTGCCTCCTGTCCTGCCAGAAGCACTTCCGGGTGCCTTCTTTTTTTTGACAGAGTGTCCGGCAGTCTGGACACTCTTTTTCAAAAAAGCAGATCAATTTTCAATCCATATAATGTAATCTAGATGCTCTTTTTTGACAGCGGCTTTTTCGAAAGATACTGCTGACAAAGCCTCTGTTGAAAAAGGCATGCTGTCTAGACGTAGCCAGTGTGAATGGTAAATGACAGGCCAGAAATTGGCAGTGCTAATACAGGCAGTCCCTGAGTTACGCGGATCCGACTTATGTCGGATCCGCAGTTACGAACGGGGATTTCTCGCCCCGGAGAACTAGAGCAGCGGGACGCCTGGTCCCGCCGCCCGCCTTCTCCGGGGCGAGAAAAGCTGCTCCCTGTCT